GGAACCAAAAAGACCCTGAATAACCACAGCAATCTTGAAAAAGGACAAAGTAAGTGGGATCACAATACTGATATCAGGTTACACTACAAAGCTACTATAATAAAAAAAAGCCTGATACTGGCACAAGAACAGGCATATAGATCAATGGAATAAAACAGATAACCCAGAAATTGACCCAAAACATTATGCTCAATTAATATTCAACAAATTTGGCAAGAGCATACAATGGAGTAAAGACAGCCTCTTTAATAAATGGTGTTGGGAAAATTGGACAGCTACATGCAAAAAACTTAAATTAGACCATCAACTTACACCATACACAAGAATAAACTCAAAATGGATAAAAGACTTAAATGTGACTCATGAATCCATAAACATCTTAGAAAAAAATGTAGGCAGCAAAATTTCAGGCGTCACATCCAGCAGAATTTTCAATGATACATCACCTAAGGCAACAGAAACAAAGGAAAAAATGATCACATGGGATTACATCAAACTAAAAAGCTTCTACACAGCAAAAGAAACAAACACCAAAATGGAAAAGGAACCCACTTTATGGGAGAGCATAACTGCCAATGATACATCAGATAAGGGGTTAATTTCTAAATTATATAGAGTGCTCATACAACTCAACTAAAAAAAAACAAAAAAATCCAACTTAAAAATGGGCAGAGGACCTAAATAGACACCTCTGTAAAAAGGACATACAAATGGCCAAAAGACATATGAAGAAATGCTCAACATCACTAATCATCAGAGAAATGCAAATTAAAACAATGATGAGGTATAGCCTCAAGTCAGCCAGAATGGCTGCCATCAACAAATCATCAAACAGTAAGTGCTGTTGAGGGTGTGGAGAAAAGGGGACTCTAGTACACTGCTGGTAGGAATGCAGACTGGTGCAGCCATTATGGAAAACACTATGGTGTTTCCTCAAAAAATTAAAAATTGAATTGCCATTCGACCCAGTGATTCCAATTCTTAGAATATATTCTAAAAAGCCTGAAACACCAATCAGAAAGAATATATGCACTCCTATGTTCATAGCAGCACTATTCACAATCGTCAAGATCTGGAAATAATCCAAGTGTCCATCAATAGATGAGTGGATAAAAAAAGCTGTGGCACATATATACAACATAGTATGTAACTGTAAGAAAGAAAGATCTCTTATCCTTTGAGACAACATGGAGGGACCTCGAGAGTATTATGCTAAGCAAAATAAGCCAATCAGAGAAAGACAAATAACACATGATCTCACTTATTTGCCGAATATAATGAACAAGGTGGGCTGATGAACAAAATAGACCCAGAAACATAGAAAGGAGTATGGTTCAGACTGACAAATCTCAGCGTAGGGAGCTGGGGGATGGATGAGATGAACCAAAGAACTTATATGTATGTATGTATAACCAATGGATATAGACAACAGTGCTAGGGGGGTGAAAGGGCAGGATGGGGAATAGGGTGTCTAGGGTGGGAAAAAGGAGAAATATCTGTAACAAAAATAAATAATAAAATGTTTTAAAAAAGAAATAGGAAAATGTACTCTGAATTATAATTAGATATCATAATTGTATAGTTCTTCTTAAGAAAATAAATCTTTTCATGATAATTACACTTAAAAAAATCACTCGTGTTCTGCTCTGACTTAGTAATAAAAGTAGAATAAAACATAAGTCTGACAATAGCACATTTCTTTTTTGTAAACAAAGAGTATTGTGTCAAATTTATAGAGATGGACTTACTTTGAAAGTAATTTCACAATGAAATGATGTTGCTAAGCCCCTGATTTTTATTTATTTATTCTAAACAGTGTTCAATAAAAAGCTCAAGACGTGAGCAGACCCTTTTAGTACGAGGGTTTTATATGCTCACTATAAGCACACCCACACTTCTTCAACATACTATTTCGCAAATGCTGTATAAGAGGTGGTGGATTCTACTAGATACATAATTTGTATATTTAAGGGAAGTGTATGGAATGAAAAAGCAAAATATGTTAAATTTCAAAGGACCTGGAAGCAATGCTGTCTGTGAGCTTGTATTACAAATAACCCTACATTATTACATACACTATTAATGAGGCCAAATGAATGAGAGTACAATTTTGAATATGCATGACTCTATCCAATGAGCAGGACTTTTGTGTACTGATGAGGTTTTTTTCCTCCTAATAAAAAGGATTAAAATTATTTTTAGAGTAGTACGGCTGCCCAGAGACCAGCAAAATAAATGCATTTAGACCACGAAGTCACACTCTATTCAGATGAAATAATACAGGTGCTAAAAGAATGGCTTTAACTCTGCTTAGAATTTTTGAAATTTGTACATATCCCGCCCTCCCAAAAGGAATATTCCTTAATTTCAAGAAGCTGCATTATTACAATTTCTAAGCAAAAATAATGATTTTTGGTGAAGATCCCTAAAAGTAGGTAAAGTTAAATAAACCTTTTGAACACAAAGCCTTCACTTTCATAGTAAGAAGCACTAGTTAAAAGACTAGGGAATGGGTAAATTATTTCACCAAATGGCTGAGAATTAATCTCTGCTGACTAGCTGTAATCTAACGAGACGTCTGTGTCCCAGGGAGCCCGCAGCATGTCCCCGGCGGTATGTGCAGTGTGTCGAGTCTGCGTGGCACCCTTTGTCCTCGCTCACAGGCGGCCTTTCCCCTCATTGTCCATAATATCCTCATGCATCTGGGACGCGTGGAATGCATTCACACTAACAGACTGACCATTGTTTTCTCCCAGAAGCTTTGTTGAGCAAAGACTGCATCACGGTTACTGATAATTATATTGCTTAATTAATCAAGACAAAAAAATTTGCAAATCATTGCTTGGTTGCCAAGCAGGGAGATAAAAAATGACAACAATACAAACTGAAGCAATATAGCAAAAGTAACAGCTATCTGATCAGAAATTCTTATATAATGAAGCTATTAATGCTAAATCGGTTAATGTTAACATTGCTCCAGGTGTCTCTACTTAAACGCAAACAAAAAGGCTAACATTATGGATATAAAAGGCCAAATGTTGCCATGGATTCTGTAACCTGATAGAGAGGACAGCCTTTTCATTTGATTAGGGAATGCAATTTAAATACCAGGGACTGAAGCCAAACAAACAGACTTTCCCTCCACAAGCCTCTTGCATTCACCCTGGGGTCAGTGGTTGGTGAACAAAAGGTCAGCCATACTTGCCCTGGAAATGTCTGGATTAATTTTATTACATTGTGATGGTTTGTACTTTAAATGCGGGAATAACACTAAATTCCAGTTGGCCATTATTCTCTTCTTCCCTTTAGGCTTTTTGAATTGAAATATTTAGAATGTGATTTGCTCAATTTATCTTGTCAGAATTTATGACCAAATTTATAAAACTTGAACAAATTTTAAAAAATTAAAAAGGTATGTTAATACTTGTTTCATGCATTATAAGTGTAATATCTTTTATGTTCTTTATATATTATAGACATAAACACTAAGTGACATTTTAGAGGGCCATGTTGAAAATGAACAAATAAAGCCAATTAATCCATACTAAATATTAAAGAAATACACTTTCTAGTTTTGAAAGTTATTGGATACTAAATTTATTGATTGTCTAATACTAAAATTTTCAGTTTAATTCTTAAAATTAAAGTAGTGCTCTTTATGGATGAACATAAATGTTATTAGCATTAAGAGCATTTTCTTATAAAAAAGCGAACACTTCACATATACAGAGACCTGAATCAAAGATAATACAAGTAAATATTTAATATGAAAAACTTTTGGCATCTTTGCTTCCTGAATAGAAAAGAGGGCTCCCTTTAATGCCAGGTGTCTCACCAGCCAGAGGGGACTGTTCTGAATTCATGACCCATACTGTATCTAGTCTGAGAAACAATCATGTTAAACTTAGGGTTCATTATTTATTCCATTTTCATGGTAGTAACTATAACAAAAAATAATAATAGCAGTAATAAATAATAACAACTAACACTTAAATAGCTTTTACCCTGGGCCAGGCACAGCTTGGAGCACATTTCATTTCTTAGTTCATTTATCCTTCCAACTTTTTAGTACTTTAGGTTATATATCCCAGTAAATCTCAGTTACCTATTATTTTAAAGCCTAAAAGTAGAGAGTATTTAAAATGGCAATTTTTAGCTCCTTCAGAAGAATAATTTGGAATGTAAATGATTATTTTTAATATCAAACTTAAATACATGTCATTTTCTTGAGGAGTGACTTAATACACAAAATGTTTAATTAAGACACTTAAAAAAACCCTCCTATTAATAATTCCAAAACAAAAACAAGTCACTATATAAAGCGCTGCTGAAGTACCACTGAAGACATGGCAAAGATCAAAACTGCAGCCAATTTAGTATATGGTACATAGCCACTGGATTGTTCCAGCCATTCCCATGATCAGCACACCATTCGACATGGTTGAATTGATTCTGTGGCAAGGTGCTTCAACTGTTAAAAGTGCCCACGTGGGTTGTGCTACAGAAGCCCAGACTGGTCATGGACATGGCCATAATCCTTCAGGATTGACCCCCACTAGCAATAGTCAGAGGCTCAGCAAACAGTGGCCATCCATCAGGCAAGGTTGAATTCTGTAACCACAGTCATCCACAAAATGCTAGATGTGATATGGGATTCATTCAATTCTTATTATTAATCAATATGCCAAAAATTTTAAATTATAAATTTTTTAAATTACAAAAAATATTTGAAATAGTTTTAAAATAATAAATTTAAAACATTTAAAAATCAGGATAAGTAATAAAATATAGAATTGTGTGTTCATGGTGAAAATTCTTTGAAAATCCCAATTCATATTTAATTCCTATAGCATGTGTAAATCAGATACATGTAAGTCATTCACCACTTGGAAAAAAATCTCCTTTTACATATCATTGTTTTTAGTAACAGTGAATCATATGACAAATGCATATGACATATGAGTCAGTTAATATAGTCAGTTAATAATGTGAAAATGTACCTCTGGTTTCTTCGTTATCGCAATAAAGAACATATGATTTTTTATTGGGTAGATAATGATTGAAACGTCTCCAAAGGCAGTTGGGATAATACCCCTGCGGTAGTCCCTGGAGTGTTCAGACCAGACGATGTGGACCTCGTCATTCCCCAAGTGGCGAAGCTGCAATGGCAAATTGGCTCTTTATTAATCAGAGTGATAACAAGCAGTTTATGAGGGGTCGTGGCTTACAAATTGAATTATAATATTCAGAGGCAAAATATTTCACTACCAAAGATAGCTACAACACCAACGTCCTCTATGAGGATTTAAAAGAGCACAGGGGCATGAAAACACAGCTTACCTTCTATGAAACACATTGGTACTAAGATGATGCTCATAAGCATCACATTATGGCTGCTGGATGGGGACAAGACCTTTTGAGGATTTTTTTTTTAATTAAATTTTACTCCTGAATCAAAGCCTCACACTTTATATTGCTGAGCATGTTTGTAAACAATTAACTAAATGAGTCTTTTATAACATATTATGGTAGAGCTTCATAAGACTTAATTTAATGGTTAAGAAAACGAATGTAAGAGCTTCATAAGACTTAATTTAATGGTTATTAAGAAAACGAATTATAACACAGTTATTACTAAATGTATAAAAACTAGACTTGTGATAAACCTGTAGGAAGTATGTATAAAATTATTTTTGTTTAAGAAACTAATAAATATTACTTAAATGTAATAAGAACACTAGTACCTAGCATTTAAAGAGTCTTAATGTTCAGCCCTGGCCAGTCTAGCTCAGTGGCTAGAGCATCGGCCCTTGGACCAAAGAGTTACAGGTTTGATTCCAGTCAAGGGCACATACCTCAGTTGCTGTTTGGTCCCAGGCCTGGTCAGAGTTGTGCGGGAGGTAACCAGTCAGTGTTTCTCTCTCTCTCTCCCTCTCCCTTTCCCACTCACACTCTATCTTAAGATAAAAGGAAAAATATACTCGGGTGAGGATTAGAAAAACACACGTATGTTTATACATATTGTTTTATTTAATCTTTATGTTATCTAATAAGGAGGCAATGGGGCTCAGGAAGGCGAAGGCATCACCTACTTATGGAGCAAGAACAGTGGGTTGAATAGCGGGCCTGGAAACCTGGGCTGAGCACCTAATTCAGCACCATTTTTACTTTTCACAGCTATCTAAGCCTGTGCCAAAAGCTACTTGTGTTGTCACAGCTCAAATAGTTTAGCCTATTTTATACAGAGAGGTCATAAAATTTAAAAACAAGTCAGAGACTCCTGCCTTCTGAGGGGCTTTCACATGCCTCCAAGGAAGGGTCTTTTGAGAGTTCTAGGGCTAAGCTCTGTCAGATGCAAGGACACCCATAATAAAACTCGTGCATGATGACTGCATGTCCTGGGCTGGAGAAAGTAGTGTATGAAATCATCTGAGTAAGCCTGCAAATGTGGCTAAAATAAGCCAGATTATAAAGATTAAAATGTTGGCCAAAATTGAAGTCTTAAAAACATAAAGGCTGACTGGTGAAGGCCCTCTGACATATCAAAATTACAAGGTTTCCATCCTCTCACACACTGCAGAAGACCACTGTCTCCCACCGTGAAAAAGTACTTCTTGCTTCCCAGATTATTAAATAGATTAAGCCTAAAAGTGACTAAATTCAGAGGCACTAGAGTAAAATAGAGATGTTGTCTCCAAGTTAATGTTCTAGTCCTGTCTCAAATATATTTTAAAAAAGCATGCTCTGGAATACTATTATTTAAAACATGTTAAAACATATTAGTAAATACCATTTTCTTTATAGATTATCTGACCACAGAAGGAAAAACCCAAGGTGACCCCAACATGGCCTCCTTTCCATTTATAAAATTACAAAGGAAGTTGGTTCACCACAATGCCTTCTTCTACTTCACTCTCTCATACTTCTGGGAACAATTATACATGTCGATTTTTAAAAAAGAGACTGGCACTTGTACCTTCGTACCTATACTGAGGGGAGCACAATTTCACTGTCTGAATATGGGCTCTGGACGAATGCAACTGTGGGTGCTGAGCATAAGTCACAATAATCCAGCACAATTTCAGGCACAGACAACTTTCTAAATGAAAAATTACTCACTACATTCTTTTTTTCTTCTCCTCTCCTTCTCACATATAAAGGCTAAAAGGGTAACAGGCAAAATAAATAGTTAAAAAAGGACACACACACACACACAAAATATTGGGTTCTCATAGTAACACGAACATCTCTCTCCATTTCTCTATTTCCATCTTAGATGCTAAAACTTTTTTTTTCCTTTTTGATAAAATATTCAAGGACCTCACAACACACTCCTGAAACGCAATCCTTTTGGAGTAAAAATATGGTAGCCAGAATCACCAGCAGCATAATAAAGGCATGTTTTCAAGAGAAATATGAATAGCATCAAGTTGAAACCTTGGGAGGAATTTCAACCAGTGGAAGTTAATTAATTGTGAGAGCCGGGGCTCCCCAGAACTCATACCTATACTCCTCATCCTGCAAAGAGAGCCAATCTTCCTGGTGGTTCTATGCCCCTTGATATAATGCTGGCACAAACATCTTAACAGGAACAACCCACCTACTAAACACCTTTCAAATGTGGGGCTGCCACCTAACGCAAGCACTCTCTGTGTGACCTCTCCCACGGACCCAGAAGTATCCTTGCAAGACATTAGTTCAGAGGTAATAGAGTGATTATTGAAATTTTGCAGTTACTCCTTTTCTAAATTAGGTTATTCAATTGCATAACCCAAGTAGGCCTCCTCCTAGTTCTGTTTGTAATTGTATTCTCAGAAGTACAGCAAGGGAGATAGAGTATCACACCAATAGACCCATTCTCCCAGTGTGGCAATTCTGTAATTAAGGAAGAGCCATTTTTGTGTGGTTATACTACAATATTCATCATCTCTAAGCTGATTCATTGTCAAGTACCTCAGACTTCTGGACACACCACAGTTTAACTAGCTAACTCACAAAACTAAAAGCTAAGGCCACGGGACCAGTTGGCTGATAAATCTAGAGCAAAGAGCATAAACACATCCACTTCTGCTGATGTTAAGAATACAAACAGGTTAAAATGAAGAAATTAACCTGGCCTTATTGTCAGCCATGTCAGAACACAGACTCTGAAAACTTCAAAGTGTTTTTCAATTTAAAGGGGATTTCATTACAGAGATGTTATTTTGTGAGTTTTGAAAATTTTTTTTAGAGGCCCTTAAATCAGAGATTCATCAGCAAGTTCTGTGCACACAAGTAAAATTGATGTGACTTGTGTTTAATCTGGGAGGAGACTGAGGAGTGTTGTCCTGGAAGGGAGCTGTCATTCATACCAGCTACTGCCTCAACTACACAACAGGCTCCAGAATGCACAGGCGCTTAACAGGTTCAGAACAAATGCTCAGTTCTTAAGTCTTAAGAAAGCAAGCGCACGTCCTGCCACCTCTCGTCCTGACAGAGTTTGAAAGTTCCTCCGCCTGGGCCATTCTGCCTGCTGCTGCCAGGCAGCATGCACTGGTGACACTGGTCATGGTACACACCTAACAGGCTGACCTCCATTCTTGACTAATTGCATTACATCGCCAGCTGGCTCCAGAAGGAGTCGTCTGTTTGACGGAAGAATTCCTGCTCCTCAGTGGGCCCGACTGCTACTTTTACTAAGTAACAGTCAGGCCTGACAATCCCCATTGTTCAGCTGACAGTGTGCCCATCCTAAAATTTAAGTTTTATTTGTAAATTAACCAAGAAACTTCCTGCCAGAACAGTGCTGCCTGGAGACTGATAATGTGGGCCTTTCATCCCTTTTCACTCATACTGTATCACTGCCAATTTGTTTTTTATGCGGCTGGCCAGCCTGAGGCTATAAAAGCCATGTAAGACATAAGTGCAATTATAGTCCTGGAGTCAAATGAATTGGACAAACCCAATAGCACAGCTCTGTCTCCACTCTACAAACCCCTACAGCAGTTAGATTAGCTGTGAAAAATCTAATCTAGCTAGAGCTAACAAATTTCTGCAGTGAAGGATCAAGAGTTCAGTATGGGGTTGCAACTGGATTGCAGAATTGAAAAAGTGCCCCCATGACAGGGGCAGAAGAGAGCATGAATCACTTTAGAATTTTGCAGCTCATTTTTAAGCTGTTAGGGACAATTTAGTTAGAATAAGACAAGAAACTGTGGGCTGCTGCTACTGTGAGTGATTTTTAGTCTAGCTGTGAGACATCCTGATAGAGTTTGTCACTAATGATGCTAAATCTTGGAGCTGCAAAAGGTATCAGCTGAATTTTGATTATTACAGCAGGGAATCCTTCAGGCAGGCCAAGCCTTGGAACATGATTTATCACATGGCTTTTTGTCAAGAAAACACTATGTCTTTTCTCAAAAAAGACAATCCTACTTTGCTTAGGATATAATTTAAAAAAGGATTTTCTATATAAACCTATCTTTTAATAAAGTAGTCTCAGTCATAAAATCATAGAATATGGTGACACATTTTCAGAGTAGCAGCAATTTACAAGGTACTTAAAATAAAACAAATGTGTAAGCCCCGCCTGGGGTCTTGGTAATCTGAAATAGATTCTCTGGAGGGCAGGGTCCCCTTCAGGAAGAACACCACAGCCAGGGCGGCCATCAAAACCTAAGACATGGAGGCAGTTCCTCCACGTCTGTGGGAGCCAGCTCATGGCCAGTGGGAGGTCATGCTGGCATGTGGACTAGGGAGTGAAGGTCAATCATGTTTTGCGCATCCTAGACACTCCAGTCACTGTGAGAGCTGTCTGCGACTGTGCCATGACCAGAGTTCTGAGGTCTCATGAGCAGACTCACTGCTGCCCACCATGAACATGGCCCAGAGGTCTGTGGCTACAGTAGTCAAAAAGCAAAACCACAGAGGAAAGAAATAAAGCAGGTATCAGTGAGGTTCATCAGCCAATATCAATCATCTGCCTAATAAACCAGGGGAATAAAGTAATGGGCAATGACAAGGGCTGATGGTTAGAGATCTCACCAGACACTGTACTAAGCAATTTCACAGGTATTATCCATATAATTCACAACAACCCTGTGACATAAGCTGTATTTTTGATCTCATTTAATAGACACAGGCTGTTAAAGTAACTGGATACAAACTTGAGCCCACGTCCACCTGTTTCCAGACTGTGGCTATCACAAACACACCAGAAGCCCCAAGGGCCAGCCTTAGTCAGCATCTGAATGACCTTTCTTCTAACCCACCAGGACTGTCCTCAGTTCCTCAGAGGAAGAGAGTGTGTGTGAGGTAGGAAATGCAGATTCTGCCACTCACTAGCAGGCTAGTCCAAGTTCTTCTTATCTGGAAACTCATAAGAATGGGTCAGATTTCTAGAATTCCCTCTTCCTCACTTTAACAAAAAAAGTTTTTATTGATTTTTTTAGAGAGAGAAAGGGAGAGAGGGAGACAGAAACATCAACTGGCTGCTTCCTGCATGCCCCTTATTGGGGATTGAGACTGCAACCCGGGGAATGTGCCCCGACAGGGAATCAAACCAGGACTTCTCAGTACATGGGACTGAGCTCAATCCACTGAGTCACACTGGCCAGGCCTCTTCCTCACTTCTAACAGAAGGTCACCTGAGGTGAACATCCAGCAGATTGGAAAGTACAGAGCATGTTCCCCTGGGGGCACTGCCTCAGGGGTCGGGGAGGTTTCCTCTGAATTGTAGAGAAAACTGCCCACAGGGCCAACTTGAAGGAGAACAAAAAGGAAAGTGCCAAAGGTGGGACAACAGGACAGCAGCACACCTGAATTTATCATTTTGACAGATACTGCCAAACTACTCCACAGCAAGCCTGAGAGTCGACTGCTCTCTCAGAGATCCACCAGTACAGGGTCATTATATCTTACGACCTTTGCCAACAGGAGAGATCAACAACGTTACTTCCTGTCAGTTAATAGTCATGTGAGGGTAGATCGAAAAGTAATAATGTTAAAGATCCTTTCTAAATATTAATCTCAGGATTTAAGCCTCAAATGATTAATTGCTTTTCACATTTCTTTATCTAGCTTGTTCCATGCCAGATATTTCAGATTAAGCACAATTGTAGCTTGAGAAGAGTGACACTGAGGTTGAATCCAGAGTTAACTGGTCTCAATGCGTGTGATGTCATGGCCTTTGTTCAGTTCTAGGAGAGCCCACTTACAAACCAGGGCCCCTTACCTTTTTGGTGAGTGAATCATCTGAGTCTGATGGCATCCGAGTGGAAACGTGGAAAATCACTTCCACGGTCGAGGTAGCATAGTAAGGGGCGGTCTGTCCTGTGCTGCCATTGCGCTGAAGTCCACCCATGAACCCACAGTGGGTTGAGAGATCCACCTGACACAGGTCACAAAGAGGAAAATGAATCAGGGTTAAACATTAGCTGTTCTTATTAAGAAGGAAAGTAGATTTTCAAAAAATCTAATTATGTTCATTTCTATAGCTTTCTGATGAAAGCAAATGTAATACAAAGTCAGACAAAATTGAAATATTAAAGAAATATTAACAATAAAAGTGTTCTGTAATCCTACCAACTTAAGAAAACAACTATGAAAAGTCTGGTTGCATATTTCTCTAACTTTGTTCCTCCTGTACATGTGTGTGTTTGTGTGTGTGTGTGTGTATCTAGCTGCTTACACACACAGAGTTTCCCTATTGATAGTTTTATGGAGCAGCATTCAAAACAGTGTTTCTGTAGAATGTTAGGTCAAGGGGTACAGATGTTCCAACATTTAATAACCATTGCTAGACTGCCTTTTAGTTGTTTCAGATTCCAAGATAGCTGGAAAGTAGGTGGAAGCTGCACTCACATGCTCCCAATGCCAAACCAGATTTACAGCTAATTAATAGAGCAGTCAACCTGAATAACCAACTGAAGGCTAGCTGAAATGAAATATTATAACCAAGGATTTACAGAAGAAGCTACACAGAATCTGGTAAAAAGGGCAGAGACATGGAAAGGGTTGGCACCACGTGTGGTGGCTGAGAAGCCAGAGGGATATTCTGGCTGCAAAACTCCCTCCCTTGTCAGGAGCAAGGGGTCTCATTCCCCACTCAGGGACCCCCAAACTAGAGCAACAGAGATGGGGAGAGGAGCCTGCACCTGGAGGTGGAAATCAGTGGGGATTCCATCCGCCTGAGTGAGAAGCAATTGTGCTAAAGACTCAGATGCCACCTTCCTTAGGGACAAGCAGTCCTATTGTTGTAGCACCAGCCTGGGGAGTGCACTGCCCTGTCTTCAGATACTGGCAACACCACTCTCCCTTGCTTGGGTCTTGCAGAGGTGTCTGCTGGCTGAACCCAGTGGGGACCTTTGGGGGACTCTTTTTTCTGGAGAAGCTCTTGAAGGAGACTCAGACAATGATTGAACTGTGTAGCTTTGGAAAAGAGACCATTCTTCCCCACCTGGAGCACACAGCTGGTGCTTCCCTTTGCCCCCACCTGTTGAATCACTGGGTCTGCACTGCCACTCTGTGGCCTCACTCTGCTGAGTTCAGTCCCGGAGGGGGATCAGAGTGCCTAGCAAAGCAGAGTGTCTCCCAAGGAGGCTTTTGTCCCAAATCAGACAGGCAGGTTCTGGGTTGTGTGGCTACATTGTGGGGCACTGCTGTCTCCCAAGGGCTCAGCCAGCACTATCTTGGGAAGGGAAAAAAGTGCCCACATCCCTCCTACCTGCTTGCCTGCAATACCCTCAAAGAAAGACTGTTTAGATTGGCCCTCCCAAGTCCCAGTGGCTCTGCCCAGCTGATCTCAGTTCTGCAAGGGGATGGGTGTGCTGCTGGAACATTGGAATCATGCCTCCCCACCCCAGGCTATGGTCTGGGACCCAGGTGAAAAGCTGCACAGCACCATGCCCAAAAGAGGATTCTTTTAACCTCTTCTACCAAGCCCCAGAGGTTCTGCTCTGTTAAGCTTGCTCCTGTAGAGGAGACAGCTGGCTGCCCCAACCTGAACCTCTGGGGTGCTCCTCCTGGGTGATCTAGAGTTGAAGACTGGCTGAGACTGAGTAGTTTGGCTCAGGGTTGCGGTCCCTTCCCCCTCATTGAGTGCCTGATTACACAGTCCCCAAGTAGGGGATCCACTAGCCTCATCCTCCTCTTACTGAGCTTGCAATCTGTGGAAGGGTCTGTGCATTGTGGCCACTCACAGTCATTCTTCCGAAAACTCTGGAGGAAGACCAGACAACCTTGAGGGAGGCAGAGTAGCTGACAGGAGGAGAATGACCTCAGGGAGCCTCTGACCTTTTATAGTTCTGCCCCCAGCTCTAAGCTGGAAGAAGCTGACACCTGTATACATATTGTCCCATCCCATGCACATCCAGGTCAAGTAGCTGAGCCACAAACAGTGAATAGCTCCAGACAGGTAGCCCAAGAAAGTGTTTGATAAAATCCAGCACTCATTTATGAAAAAACTCTCAGCAAAATGGGAATAGATGGGCCATACCTCAATATAATAAAGATCATATATGGCAAACCCACAGCCAACATAATACTCAGTGGGCAAAAACTAAAAGTGTTTCCCTTAAGATCAGGAACAAGACATGGGTGTCTGCTTTCACCACTCGTATTCAATATAGTACTGGAAGTCCTAGCCACAGGGATCAGACAAGAAGAAATAAGAGACATCCAAATTGGAAAGGAGAAAGTAAAACAGTCACTATTCACAGATGACATGATTGAATACATAGAAAAGCCTTAAGCCCTGGCCATTTTTCTCAGTGGTTAGAGCGTCGGCCTGCAGTCCGGAGAGACCCGGGTTAAGATCCCACTAAGGGCATGTACCTCAGTTGCAGTTTGTCCCCGGCCCTGGTTGAGTCATGTGGGTGGCAGCCACTCGATGTGTCCCTTTCATGTTGATGTTTCTCTCTTTCTCTCCCTCCCTCCCACTCTATCTGAACAAAATATAGAAAAAATATCCTCGGGTGAGGATAAAAAAAAAAAAGAAAAGCTTTAAAAATCCACACAAAAAATACTAGATCTAATAAATAAATTTTAGCAAAGTAGCAGGATACATAATTAATATTTAGAAATTGGTGTCATTTTATGGAGCTAAATATGGAACTACCTTTTGGCCCAGTGATCCCACTGCTGGGAATATATCCTAAGAAAACCGAAACAATATTCTGAAAGAATATATGCACTCCTATGTTCATTGTAGCATTATTTACAATAGTCAAAATCTGGAAACAGCCCAAGTGCCCAACAGTAGATGATTGGATAAAAGAGCTGTGGTACATTTACAGAATGGAATACCTGGCCATTAAAAAAAAAAGAAAATCTTTCCTTTTGTGAAAGCATGAATGAACCTGGAGATTATTACGCTAAGTGCAATTTAATGAATAAAATAGAAACAGAGGAATGGACACATGAAATAAAATGACAGCTGTCAGAGGATGGGGGGCTAGATGAGAGGGTGAAGGGATTAAGCAGAATATCTATCTATCTATCTATCTATCTATCTATCTATCTATCTATCTCACATAGACCCAGACAACAGTGTGGTGATAGTCACAGCTAGAGGAAAAGAGGGTTGAAGGGTATGTAGATGTGGGCAAAGGAGGATAAATGGGGACAGAAAGAGACTTCACTTAGGGCAATGAACACACGATGCAGTGTGCCGATGATATTTTGTTCAGATGTACACTTGAAACCTGTATAATTTTGTGAACCAATAAATTCAATAAAAAAAGAGTTGCTCCAATTTACCACTGCCAAAAGTCTATGAGTCATAATTCTTTTTAAGTTATGATGTAAATGTGTACTTCTTAGTGTCTAAATCCATTTTTTAAAAGATTTTCATAAAGTAGTATTTTTCAGTAAAGCAATTATACAAATGCAATTTAAATAAAAGAATTTCTTCAGTGCTAAATACAATCAATATATTCACTAAGTTAATTAATGTTCTAGTCTTTATTTAAAATGCCAGTTAACACTGTATTTTTTTAAAAAACCTATTAATTAAATAAGTATTTTGTATAACAAAGAAGTAACCTTATTAGTGAAAAGAACAATGATTTATTGAAAGTGTAATAACTCTTTTAGACCAAAACCTACTTAACCTTTTAGAAAGTATATGGTCTTGCCCTGGCCGGTTTGGCTCAGCGGTTAGAGCATCGGCCTGCGGTCCCGAGAGACCCGGGTTCAGTTCCCGCTAAGGGCACATACCTCGGTTGCAGTTTGTCCCGGCCCTGGTTGGTCGTGCGGGTGGCAGCCACTCGATGTGTCCCTTTCACATCGATGTTTCTCTCTCTCTTCCTCTCTCCCCCTCCCACTCTACCTGAACAAAAAATAGAAAAATGTCCTCAGGTGAGGATAAAAAAAAAAAAGAAAGTATATGGTCTTGACCTTGAAGTAGTACTCTTACCCTGTCCCTACCTCCATATCTGTCCCCATGCTAACCTCAACTCTCAGAGACGAGTCTTTCTTATACACTCAGAGAGTTTCTCACAGCACAGATAATGAAACCAAGCCAACAGTAGTAAGGGAAAAATTTTTTTAAGATACACCGATTTTCATTTTAATTACTCTGAATTCTTTTATATTCTGGAAATATATTTTTCTTTAGATTATGTTCTTGGAGACAGATATATGTGTATACATGCATGTGTATAAATGTATATATGTCTGTCAGAGTATCATTTAGTAGAGAAAAAACAAATTTTTTCATTATTAGTCATCCTGAGATCTACCCTAGCGAAATAGGTTGATAGCTAAACCATTATGGTTACAATATTCTATTTTAATTTCAACTTTCGACTTCAACTAACTCCTTCTTCATCTTTTCACCATCAAGTTATTGATTTCTTCTCCATTCTCCATATTGTGGCCAAAGCCATCACTTTCTTTGGCCATATTTGTCTTCTCTTACTACAAACTGTCTATAGCTGGCTGAGCTGATAAAGAGCAAACGAAATAATGTTAAGAGGAAAGTTAAGGGGGAAAAAAAGTACATGTTTAAAGTACTGTAAAACAATTGATTATAGAAGATGCCAAATTAAATATATTCTTTAACTCCAGCACTCTACTCATGCTATACTTGAATATAAAAACATATGCAATCAATGTCAAGTTTATATACATCTTTAAATAGTGCTGGTCAATAAATACCTAGCGCATGAAATTAATTACCTCCCATCCAAGTCCAGCAACAAAGTCTTCATAAGCTTGGCTTCCTTTTTCATTGGAGAGGATTGAACACTTGTCTTCTTGACCTTCAGCAATGTAAAACACTGCAATTTTATGTGTTTCACGGCTATAAAATTTTAAATGTGAAGAAGTGAGAATTCTTATATATAAAATTTTATTTTACAATGACCACCAGCATTATTCCTACTGAGAACTTACTAGGGATCAGTCACTGTTCTAAGAAGGTTCACACATGATCTCATTTACTCTTTTCAACAACCCTAATGAGACAAGAATTGTCATCATCATCACCTCGTAGAGGTAGTTGAAAGAAAGCACAGAAAGTTTTTAAAAAGCACACATACCAAGCAGGAGACTAGGAACTGAAGCAGGGCATTCTGGTTCTTGAGATCACTCTCTCAAGACACATGCCACGCTTAACAGCATGTTACAACACAGAGTTTGACAAGTTCTTTCTACTTTTGGTAAAAAATATCTTTGAAAGCATTTCAAACAGGTATCAATTGTGAATAGATCCATATTACCACCCATATTTCATTTTTCTATCCTTTGAGCTAAGGATATTGGGTAGTTCCATAAATGGAACTGTAGAACATGCCTCACAAGACTTTATAAGAAACAGAATTTCTTCCAAGCACAACACCCTTAGATACTTTCTTTGTGAGGGGATATACCCACTCTGTGCTCTGACCAATCTGAGGGTGCCTAGTAGGGTGTACAGTGGTCTAGGGAAACCTCTTTGGCCATATAAACCCTTCATCCATTTCCTCCATGATGGATTTTGGGCATGTTGCCATTAAATCCTGTAAACATATTATGTGCATTGAGGAAAGGAGCCCTTCCCTCTTACCTCTTGTACATATATTACAATCCTTGGCACATATTAAGTGCCCAATTAAATTTCTGGTGAACTGACCAGAGATCTGATGATATATTTTAATGAATTAGTGACCAATTTCTACAAATTACACCCTGGAGTTAAGTGTGAAGGTAAATGGACCTATACCAAGTAATTCGGAGACAGTTTAGAGATGAAGACGTTTTTCATTGAAACAAAGCTTTAATCAAGAATCACTCATTCCATAGTCTCATCATCCAAGAGTTCTACTCTAGTTTCTATCTTCTAAAATTTTACATGACTGCTTCCAGAGTAGTTCCATTCCTCTCCTTATTTTCACATTACATTCTGAAAAATATCACAGAAAAAACTATCAAGTACTTAAACAATATGAAAATGTTTCTACTAACTGTTTAATATTACAACATTGTAATCTGGTTAGACATACACACTGGTGGAATTTGGGGTCATATTTTAACAAATTCTCAAGTATTTCCTTCTGCAGTTGTTGTTGTTTTTGTTTATTACTAATAAGCAGAATGAATTGAAACTCAACCAAAAAATCATCTAAATAAGAGGAGGAGGAAAGTATTCTCCTATTTATCCAGTGAGCTTATTCATTTCCCCCATAGTTTACATGTAATAAACATACAAGAAAAATTACAAAATTTAACAAAAAATTATTATAAAACTTCTTTCAATATATAAGCAAAGAACCCATTACCATTTCTGTATACAAAAATGAGTAGCTGCTATATTCTATTTTACAACTGGTTTTTTCACTTATAATTGTAAGGTTGATGAGCTCTGGGGAGTCACATGACCCGGAAGTCACATGACCCATAAATGGGTGGCCAGAGGAGAAATGGAAACCTAACTTGGGAGGCTGCCCCTTATTCGGATGTGGCTGAGGAGACACTCCTGGTCACGTCCCACCACCCTTCCCAGCCAATCAACATACACCACACTCGAATCTCACAAGCAGCTAGCCAGTCACCTGACGCCACACCTAATCACCCCACCCAGGTCCCTAACGTCCCTATAAATCTTCCCCGGGCAAAAGTAGCAGCGGGACTTCCCTGGCCCCCCGCCACGTGGACCAGTGAACCTCGCCTGGGAACGCTTCAATGAAACTTTTGCTTGCCTTTGTGGCTCCGTTTCTCTTCTTCCTCAGCGAGATACCTTACAATATTTCTGAACACTTTATCATATAAAGTATACATAATATACAATTCTCCCTTTGAACCATTTTTGAGTGTAAACACTTTAATACTATGTGCTTTTATAACTAAGTTATTTAATGGTTGTATAACATTCCATTATATTAATATACCACATCCAAAATCCTCATTATAGGACATTCAGGTTGCTTCCATTTTAAAGACATTTTCACATTGTTTTTTATATGTCCTCAAAATAAATTCATAGAAATGGAATCTTGATCATTGCCCATTTTTTTATCCTCACCCGAGGACATTTTTCGATATTTTGTTCAGATAGAGTGGGAGGGCGAAGAGAGAGAGAGAGAGAGAGAGGGAGAGAGAGAGAAACATCGACGTGAAAGGGACACATCAAGTAGTTGTCACCCACATGACCCACCAGAGCCGGGGACAAACTGCAACGGAGGTACGTGCCCTTAGCGGGAACCGAACCCAGGTCTCTCTGGACCGCAGGCCGACGCTCTAACCGCGGAGCCAAACCAGCCAGGGCGATCATTGCCCATTTTTAAAGTTTTTCATGCTCATTGTCCTGCTGTCACTAGAGAAGGTGGACAGTCTGAACGCTCTGACTGGTGTCGCATGAGCACACTCTTGTGGGTGCCCCTCTTGATGAGAACAGGTGTTATGAGGAGAGGTGAGTTTTGTGGGATTGATCTCTGGGGCTCAATGCTCTAGTAGAGACCTTATGCTTCCAGACGGTCAGAAAGCTTGTTCTCATGCAGTATGGAGCTCTGAAAGGTGATATCATTTACTCCCTGAGCAATAGGCAGGGAACACAGGCAGCCTAGAATCTGGCTGGTTTATTCTTAGAGCTACTATAATTTGGGGGCTCAGATGATAATAGAGATCATAACCATGACCCAAAAGACTGTCTCGTTCAGCAAAGAAGAAAAGATGTATAGTTACTCAATTTCTTTAGGCAGCTCTCTCTTTCTCCAGTCTATATACTTTATATACATAAAAACAATCTTAGGTTTATCAAGTCCAAGCTTTTTACATTGTAGCTATTTACAGATCCTTGAGTACTCATTAGTTCAATGTGGGAGCTAAGCCCCAATGACTGCCTGACTGATGTAGGTGTGAGGAAAGGTGATCTTTAGCTGTAAACATTCATCAAATTTCACATCCTCCAAAATGTTAGCACCACAGAGAGCCTGCTAGGATTCAGACACTGTTGTCTGGCCTTATTAGAGCCAAGCTTTTGAAATGGTAATTATCAACATCAACAGCACTTCATATCCATAAGCTGCATGACCCATGCATGAAGGAGCAGGTAATTTAGGAACAAATATAAATCAACCATTTCCTCTTCCTCATTAGAATGCATTTTTTTTCTTATTAGAAATAGACCAGAATAACTCTGTTTTCCTGTGCTGTCACATTAAAAAGCCAAGCAAAATAAAATATTTTATTTTTCAAATGTATGTTTTTATAGATTTTTTAGAGAGAGACAGAAACATTGATGCGAGAAAAAAATGTCGATCGGCCATCTCCTGCACACCCCCAACCGGGGATCGAGCCTGCAACCTGGGCATGTGCCCTGACCAGGAATCAAACCGGGACCTCTCAGTCCATGGGACAACACTCAATCCACTGAGCCACACAAGCTGGGCAAAAGAAACTATTTTAACTTTCACCTTACAACATGGTGGCAAGGGTCATTAATATTTAAAAGGGGAACTCTATGTACAGTCATCACACTCTTTACATCTTTGCTAACTTGACAATATATAGATGATAGTTGCAAGACAGCCTCTACTTTTCTTAAGAACATGCTAAGCAAGACCTAGTTATGTCTTGACAGCACAGAGAGGAACTTATATCAGAAATAAATAGAAATATCCTAATTGAAAGTTGAGGAGCATGGTATGTTACCTGCTTACTGATATAATACATGAGATAGTCTAGATTTCTCATAGCTAGAGTCCTTGACTTATTTAAAAAAAAAAAAAAAAAAAAAAAGTTGATACCTTTTAAATGTCAAGAAGTCACCAGGAGTTGGGGTTCTAAGCAAAGGTTAATCGAGGGGCAGAGGATTTGCCAATCAGTTCTCCAAAGCCGTATTTTACTGCAATAGCACTCCAGGGAGCTAATTCAATTGAATCTCATGCAACTAAAGTGCATTAACACAATTACAAGATACCAATGTATGCACTTAATACTAAGAAACACCAAGTAATTCAGCATGTGCTTAAAAAGCTGAGTCTGGAACCCAGGTGACTGTTTGTTTAACACTGGAGAACAAGAGGGAGAGGGAAGCGAATTCCTAAGTCCTTCAGAAGAAATCCCTCACAGAATTCCCAAAGTTCAGTCTCTAGAGAAAAAGAAGCACAAGTGGGAAACTGATTATGATGAAGGGCAACATGAGGAATATTGACTTCAGGTTTTTCACCTTTAATGGGAGATCTAATGATATTCTTAAGGAGAATACAAGAGGAACAAAAGCTATTTTTTAAATGAATTTTTAAAAACGAAAGATTAAGGAAGTAGTTTGTTCAAGGAGCACGTGTTATATACCAACTGCTATACTTGCCTACTAAGATATTTTTAGAAGCACGCATTTCCCCAAATCAAAAACTGGTTAAGAGCTCATTTTTAGAGTTGCTTCTAAGATTGTTTGAAAAAGTGGGAGACCTGAAATTTGACCAGCTTTGGAAAATGAGGCTTACAAAAAAAAGTTACTAATTAGAACAAACTGATTTTAACTTGCCAACATTGCAGAACAGAAACTTCAGAATGCCAGTGCATCAGCACACAGCATGGGGTAAGAAGTCAGACTTACTTGCTTCAAATAACACAGAATGTTTGACTCAGGTAAGGCTCTGTTCCTCATCAGAAAGAGATGGACACAGAGATTAAATGAGAATGAATGTCTACTAGCTACCACATGAAAGGTCCCTAATCAAAGGTGGGAGCATTGACCTCTTCTTAGTGTAGCAAACATGTAAGCTTACTCTTCAAGGGTACATCACTGGATTCTATATTACAGAACTACCCTTGAGTGTCTCTGCAGGTATAGTCATTCCTGCAGCTATATCTGACATCTAAGTACACACAAAGATAGAAAAGAATAAAGTGGTGTGTTACACTGGCACATACCACTGACGGGAGTCCAGATTTTTTAGCTCTCTCAATAATTTTGAATTTTTCTTCAACAGATGAAAATTCTTCCTATAAAAAAAAGAGATGGAAGAAAAGTCATGTAATCACAGACCAATTTTGCCCTTTCCAGTCAATCAATCGACAAACTTACTTATTATCATCCATCCATTCACCCATCTATCCATCCACTGCATTAACAAAGATTTGCAATCAAAGCCATAGAATGAACTCCATTCTCCTTAAGACACTCAAAGGCAGCAAAATTCCACTGCATTCCATTGCTATCCAGCGACATTGGATGGCTCTGTGGTAAATGAGCATGTGGCCTGTGTGCATGTGTTTTCATTGCTGGCTCTGCTATGAACCTCTTTCCCTCACCTCTGTCCTTAAAAACTCCACTCCATGACCAGGGTCCACCCCATTCCACAAAGTCTTCTCCAGTAAACCACACTTCCCACTGGATTTAACTGTTCCTTTTAAACTCCTGTATCAAGCTATCTTTCATCAGAAAATGTGTGATAGCCTTTAAAATGTACAACAGATGTTTGGAATCAATTTGTATACAGCATAGTTGCTAGCTTTAATTTAGCAGCAGAAAATAAGCTGTAAATACCGAAATTGAGAAAAATTTCCATTTCTGTTCTGTTTCCTCAACTCCAAACTGATAAAAAAGAACAATCACAAAAAAATAACAAAATAGTTAAAGGTCTACGGTAGATTGTTACCTTCTGTCCCAAGAATTCATTCCCAAGTCATTGAGCAACAACCTGCAGAAATAAAAGGGTCCTCGGGGCTCCACTGGTGAGGGCTGCTCCTGGCTGGTGACTCTCATGGCCATATCAGAGTTACTCCTCTGAACATACTCCTCTTCTTGTGCATTCTGGCGGAAAATTACCTCAATGATCTCCTTCTCTTGGTCACGATTCATTCCACGTGGGGGTAGAGAAGGCTCATTTAGATTTAACTGAGATGGTAAAAGGCATTCAGGACTTGTGTGGCCAATGTTTTCAAGTAATTTGTCGAGGACATCATCTCCCTCCTCAGTTTGAGGAAAATCTCTCTGAAGTCCAAATGTTTGATGATGCCAGCCCGAAATCAGAAATGAAGGATTTCTGCTGCTGGGTGGTAAGCAGCCTTCAAAAGGTCCATACAAAACCTTCCCATCCCAAGAGTACTTCCCTGAGATGTCCCGCACAATTACTCTCACGTCAGAGATAGTGCCCACTGGTGAGCTGCCTGCCAGTCTTTCTGTGGGTGTCTGAAGGTAGGAGATGAGGGTGCTGTCATTAAACACAAACAGCTGCAGGTTTGGGCTCCTGAACACTTCGGAGGATAGCTCAGAGGCTTCTGCACATGTGTTGTCATGGTTCTCGCTGACCAAGCTGTGCAGCACCGCAGGGCCCCCACGGAGGGGGAAGTGACCCAGGTGGTTCACCAGGTGGGCCATCACCATTCGGGCAGTCAAGGGGATCAACTCCAAACTTCGTCTCTTCCTCTCTGTGAACAGCAGTGGAAGAAACATAAAGAGACAGTGGAGAATGAAGATTAACACTGAACACCACCAGATTTCAACCTGTACTTAGAATATTTAAAGTCTGGGAAACTTTTTTACCTCGATTTCTTTTTTGACACATTCTACATTAATTTAAAAACACAATTTAAATAGATTGATAAAAGATTACGTGAAGATTTCATTCTAAAAGGGACATTAAAATTTTGTAGATACAACAATAAACAAGAGAAAGGTCCTTGTCCTTAAAAAAGTGACAGTTGAGCTCTGGGAAGTAAAAATCTGCAGCTGTAGAGGATGGCAGAGCTGGACAGCTGGGGGCTGGAGGCTGGGGGCAGGTGGAAGCTGCGGGAGAGAGGTTACCTTGCTCTCCTCGGGAGGACAAAGGCAGACTTTGATAAGGAAATTAATACAGCCTATGACTGCTTAAATATGGTTTATATTTTCGATGTGTGAAACACAGTCTATTCTTGTATTATTTATTAACTATTATATTATTTTCCGTATGAATAACTGTATACCTACTTTTGCCCCACCCTGTATAGTTTGCAACTTGCTTTAAGACCACTGTAACAATTTATGCTTTGTTGTTAAGGCATTTTAAATATTTAACAGAAACTGATATATTAAAAATTCATGGAAATACTTAGAAGGCTTTAACTAAATTTGTAGTTGATGATTAAATGCCCCAAAACAACTGATTTATAACATTTTTCAAGACTTCAAATGTACAAAAAGACTTGAAAACAGCATCTAAAACTGTGCTGTAAACTATCTGAGGTAGAATGGAGAAGTAGGCAAACTAAATCCGTACACATGGACTGAAATGACCACTTCAGTTTGAGAGTAGTTAGGGAGAGTTTTATCTACTACATTTATAAAAAAATTATGCATTAACCTAAGAACAAATTAAAAGAAATTCTTTTAATTTTAACAAAAATAAATCACTAGATATTTAAATAAAATAAGATTTATAATTTGGGCTTAAAGGTTTAGGAAATACTTGTTTTCTAAATTCATAACATAAAAATTAAATATGAATTTAATTAAATATTAATAAAATAAATTCAATTTATTAATTAAATTAATAAAATCGCTTTAATATTGATGTAATTTAAATCCACAACAAAATTAACTTTTTTTTTTTTTAGTTAATCCTCGTCCAAGGATATTTTTCCATTGTTATTTAGAGAGTGGAAGAGACGGTGGGAGAGACAAAGAGAGAGAGAAACATCGATGTGATAGAGGCATATAGATTGGTTGCCTCTCATACAACCCAAAACCAGGGCCAGGGCTCAAATCTGCAACCTATGTACGTGCCCTTGGCTGGGAATCGAACCAGCAACCCTTTAGTCCACAGGCCGATGCTCTAACCACTGAGCAAAACCAGCCAGGGTGAAAATTAACTTTTTCATGCTAAACACCCTCCCTCTCAGACACTGAAAATACAACTGATTTATTTATAAAACATCAATTTTATGATGTATAAGTCCTAGAAAGAAACAATCAGATCCTAGAAAAGAACTGTCCTGACTTTTCTCGGATTTCTTCTTGATTTTTTGCTTTTCAGTGAACAAAAAATTACCTATATTCAATAATGCAAAATAAAAATTTCACATAAAAAAATCCTCCTTTTCTAGAAGCAAAGGAGGTCATCTAAATCAGTCTTTAAAATGGAACTCTTCTTCTCACCCCTGGTAGAAGTGTGTATGATTTCCAAACAGCTGAAAAATCCAAAATACCTCAACTAATTCACTTAAAATCACTGTTATAAATGCCTTTGCTTTAATGTTTACATGAACTTTTTCAAAAGTTACAGATTTTTAAAATTCATGCTTATCATTCCATATGAATATATGTTCCATCAGAAAGTTAATGCCCCAACAAAGGTGCAGCCAGCTCACGAGTCACAGTGTAGACACCATGTAGTGATGACATGGTAGAGCAGGCAATGAGACTTACTATAAAGGTCTAATTTATCAAGCCCAAGATAAAACAACTACTGCAAAAGCAACTTTCCTCTACTTTCTTTACAAAGGTTGTGCTTTTGATTTGAGATAAATAAAATTTGTATTTTAATGAACATATTTGAATTCTACAATAGGAAATTAACCAGTAGTCACACTAATCAAGTCATAAAACATGAAACACCAAGTGAACACCCAAAATATTTTTGGTTCTGAAAAGAAAAGGGAATATTTGTGCCATGGCCAGTTTTGTTCAGTGGTTAGAGCATTGGTCCATGGACCAAAGGGCCATATGTTCGATTACTAGTCAAGGGCATGTACCTGGGTTGCAGATTCAATCCCCGGCCCCAGATGAGGTCATGCAGGAGGCAACCAATCAATGTGTCTCTCTCACATGGATGTTTCTCTCTCTCTCCCTCCCTCCCTATCTATCTAAAAACCAATGGAAAAATATCCTTGGGTTAGAATTATCAGAAAAACAAACAAAAGGAAACAAAAGGAAATATTTGTAAAATGAATTGCTCTTCCCTGACAGACTTCAACTAAATCAATTGCCTGTGGGTGCCCTGAAAAATAAAAAGAAAATCTAGATTCCATTAATGAAAACAACAAGCTCATGACTTCTACAAATTATGAAAAATATATTCCAAATATTTATTTTATTTTTCTAAATTTAGAAATAAAATATAAAAGCAATAATTTTAGGTTGTCCTTTAACCTTTCTTTTTTAAAGCTCCTCCCCTCCTTTCATTTTAAGCACTTAGGTATTAATGATGAGAGTACATGAGTGTGCCATTAACAGCTTTTCCTTGAGCTGGGCCAACAGCTACTTCAGCGGCAGATAGTTTGTAACTTTATTTGAAAGTAGCAACCATACCAGTCTATGAAAAAAAAAATCATTTTAAAGTAATAGATAAAATATAATACTACATATCAGAATCATTATTTGACTAGAATAATTTGGTTATGAATGATGAATTATGGCATTAAATGAAAACAAAAGACCCTCAAATATGAACACATTTTATTTAATCTAAAATACCTAACTTATCATTTTTATTTTTCCTCTTTGCTCTTAACAGGATGTAGTCACTCAGCAAGAGTATTCGTGTGTGCCAATATGTTTCTAAGCTTCTTTGCTATTTTATTTAGTAAAAATGGTAGTGAATATTATTTTTAGTAGCACAGAAGTATATTAAGACAAGTCTACATAAGGTCCTGAGGTTTCTGGAAGAATAAATATGCAAGTAAAAGAATGTTGTACATTGAAAGAAAAATGGTACCAAAATTTAAAGGTGCACTTTTATGTTTCTCATTTTTCACTAACCAGTTAATCTTCTGCCTTTTTTAAATTATTTTTTTAAATTTAATTAATTTATTTTTGTTACAGATGTTTCTCCTTTTCCCCCCCATTGCCTCTTCCCGTCCCCCCCACCCCCCACCCCAGCATTGTTGTCTGTGTCCATTGGTTATGCTTATATGCATAAGTTCTTTGGTTTATCTCTTCACTTCCCCCTCAATCCCCTCTCCTGAAGTTTGTCAGTCTGAACCCTACTTATATGTCTCTGGGTCTATTTTGTTCATCAGCTAATTTTGTTCATCATATGCCACAAATAAGTGAGATCATGTGACACTTGTCTTTCTCTGACTGGCTTATTTCGCTTATCACGACACTCTCCAGCTCCCTCCATGTTGTCTCAAAGAATAAGAGATCTTTCCTTTTTACAGCTGCATAGTATTCCATTGTGTACATGTACCACAGCTTTTTTATCTACTCATCCATTGATGGACATGTGGGCTGTTTCCAGATCTTAGCAATTATAATAGTGCTGCTGTGAACATACGGGTACATATATTCTTCCTGATTGGTGTTTCAGGCTTTTTAGGGTATATTCCTAGAAGTGAGATCACTAGGTCAAATGGCAGTTCAATTTTTAACTTTTTGAGGAAACACCATATTGTTACTACAATCTATAGTGGCTACAACAGTCTGCATTCCCACCAGCAATGTACCAGAGTCCCCTATTTTCAAGTGATGAGTAATAATAAATAGTGAACCTATTTTTTGAAAGGGTTAGTAATCTTTTAAAGGGTAAAGGGAAAAGTTTGCAAAAGGCGGAAACTGGAAATTGTGTTGCTTGCATGACCTTGGCTCAGCCTTTTGTTTAGTATGGATAAGGTTGATCTGGATTGTCCGAAAGGCAATGGATAACCCAACAGATGCCTGACGAGATACCAGAACAGCCCTACTTTAAGGTTGACAATGGGCCAGATAAAGTACATCCACAGAAATTGCTGGAAGCTAAAAGTAGGATTTATTACCGACACCCTAACCCTAATCTGAGGATGAACCCTTCTTGGCTCAGGCAGCCTGCACACAGGCATATGCAATAAAGCCATTTTGCTCTACATTGGCCTTGCCTTGCGATGTGATCTCCTGCTGGCTCAGACCTTTTATTTTTATGATAGTTATATAGGATGAATGTAAATTAATGACTTTAGGAAAAAGTAAATTAATTTTCTTATAAGACATGGACTATAAGGTAAGAAAAAAAGAAAACTTTATTTAAAAAATACAGTTTATATTTACAACTGTGGGAAAAAAGGTCAAGAAAATGTTGCAACTTTTAAAATTAAATCTCTCTTTCTTTCTCTCTTTCTTTCTCTCTCTCTCTCTCTCTCTCTCTCTCTTTCTTTCTTTCTTTCATTCATTTTTATCCTCACCAGAGGACATTTTTCAATATTTTGTTCAGCTAGAATGGGAGGTAGAGAGAGAGAAACATCAACATGAAAGGGACACATGGAGTGGTCGCCACCCACACAACCCAACCAGGACCGGGGACAAACTGCAACTGAGGTACGTGCGCTTAGTGGGAACTGAACCCGGGTCTCTCCAGACTGCAGGCCGACACTCTAACCGCTGAGCAAAACCGGCCAGGGCCAAATTAAATCTTTATTGTAGAGAGTATTATAGATGTCCTTCCCCATTGCCCACCCCCCCCAGTTCCCTTCCTGCCCCA